AAGTCCTTTTAGAAAATGTAAGTGTAGTGCCCTATTAAAGTTAGTATTTCAAATTAGCACTTTTCACCTACTCTCCTTTAACATAATAACTTTCGAGCCCCCTTTAGACATAAATGTATTCAAGCCCATATCAACCCCTACCATATTATTTACTACAGTATACCCAAAGCAGCATCCCCAAATGCACTGCCCTACCGGAGAATCGCGCTGGTCCACATAGCCGTGACCGACGTAGTGCGCGAGTCAGGGCTCTCGCAGATGCAGCCAGGACAGGGCCCAAGCACAGTCCATCACAGTCCATCACAGTCCAAGCCCTAGTCATAGTTATATCTTATTTGGGGCCAGGTAGGAGGGAAAGGGTCCGGGAAAGGGTCCACTTGGTCCAACACAAAGCCAAATAACTAAAAGTTGACATTTTTAGTTATTTTACCCAAAAATGCTTTGGCGTGCCGTAAAAGTCAAGCCAATGGAAGTAGCTCTGTGTGAGTAAGCAAATTGTGCACTTTTTACATAAACAAATAGGAAACGTTTTCCTTTTTAGCACAGAACTAGAAAAGAGAGGAGTTAAAATCTAGTTCTACTACAGTTATCTGGACAGAAGTACACAACAAACAATGTATTAGTTTCTTCCTTGCAGTGGTGAGGAATGACTGGGATCGAAGGACGACAGAACCATGCTGCTTTATAATAATAATAATAATAATCTTTATTTATATAGCACTTTTAAAAACAGTGTTTACAAAGCGCTGCACAGTCAGCATGATAAACAATAAAAACAGTCATAATGCAAGGTCAAAATAATTAGATACAGAAACACAAAGCAAACAGAGCAAAACACAAAAGAGACTCAACAAAGACAAAGCAGACAATAAAATACAGCATCGGAAGTTCAAAACTAACAGTTAAAAGCTGTTTGATAAAAGTGGGTTTTAAGAAGAGATTTAAAAGAGGATACTGATGGTGCGAGCCTTATCTCCTCGGGCAGGTCGTTCCAAAGCCGAGGAGCCCGGACAGAGAAGGCTCGGTCACCTTTCGTCCGGAGCCTCGACCTTGGAACAGTCAACAGGGACCTGCCCGAGGATCTAAGGCTGCGGGGGAGCTCGTAGGGGGATAAAAGTTCATAAATATAGCTGGGTGCCAGACCTAAACGAGCTTTAAAAGTAATCAGTAAAATCTTAAAATCAATTCTAAAGCGCACAGGGAGCCAGTGGAGAGACGCTAAAACAGGGGTGATGTGCTCCCTTCTGTTAAAACCAGTGAGAAGTCTGGCTGCTGCGTTCTGGACCAGTTGGAGGCGGGAGAGGGATTTAGCGTCGAGACCGGAAAGGAGGGAGTTGCAGTAGTCGAGGCGGGAGAAGATGAGGGCGTTGACAACTTTATGGAGATCGGGAGGAGTGAGGATGTTTTTAATCTTTGGGATTGTGCGGAGGTGAAAGAAGCAGGTTTGGGTGGTTTTATTGATGTGGGAGCGGAAAGTGAGGTGAGAATCAAAAATGACACCAAGGCTACGGGCGGAGGGAGTGATGTTTGAGGAAAGGGGGCCGAGGTGGGTTTGGATGTGGGATATAGATGGAGGCGGGTTGATGAGGAGGACTTCTGATTTGGAGGTGTTGAGTTGAAGGAAGTTGTGGGCCATCCAACGGTTCACATCGTTAAAACAGTCGACCACAGCAGCAGACTTCCAGGGTCGTTTGGTCTCAGCGGGAGGTAGATCTGTGTGTCGTCCGCATAGCAGTGGAAGGACACGTTATGACGGGCCATAACGTGTCCTAGGGGGAGCATATAAATAGAAAATAAAATGGGACCTAAAATAGAACCTTGCGGCACACCACAGGTAATGGGGGCTGTAGAGGAGGTAAAATCACCCATGGTGACCGCAAAGGTTCTGTCTAAAAGATAAGAATGAAACCAACCAAGTGCAGTATCTCTGATGCCAACCCACGTTTTGAGGCGATCCAATAAAATCCTGTGGTCGATCGTGTCGAAGGCTGCGCTTAGGTCTAAAAGAATTAAAATAGAGCACCCTCCGCTGTCTGTGGTTAAAAGAAGGTCATTTAAAACTCTAAGGAGGGCTGTCTCTGTACTGTGTTGTGCTTTAAAACCTGATTGGAATTTCTCAAAGATGTGGTTCTCATTAATAAAATCTAAAATCTGAATTGAAACAATTTTCTCTAAAACTTTGGATAAAAAAGGAAGTTTTGAAATGGGTCTAAAATTGTTAAAATCAGTAGTGCTTAAATTAGGCTTCTTTAAAAGTGGCTGGACCACAGCATGTTTAAAACTGGATGGGACAAGACCTTGGTCCAGGGACTGATTAATGATTGATAAAATGGAGGGTCCAACCACATTAAAAACATCTTTGAGAAATTTGGTGGGGATGACATCGAGGCTGCACGTGGTTGGTTTCATGTGGAATAAAATGTCAGATAAAAGAGAAAGGGATAAAGGCATAAAATTAGTAAAACAATTAAAATCCAGAGTTTCTCTGTCTATAAAAATTGCTTGGCTGGGAGCAGATATTTGGGCCCGGATATCAGTGATCTTTTTGATAAAATGATTTAAAAATTGTTCACACAGCTCAGTGGATGCATCATTAAAAACAGCAGGACTGGGGTTTGTGATAGAATTTAAAACTTGAAATAAAACTCTAGGATTTGAAATGTTTTGACTGATGGTATTTGAATAAAATAAGGTTCTTGCTTCCTTGACTACGTGTTGATATTGTTTGAGGCTGTCTTTCCAGGCGAGGTGAAATACTGTGAGTTGTGTCTTTTTCCATTTCCGTTCATATTGTCGGCAGGTGCGTAATAGTGTGCGAGTATTTTCATTGAGCCATGGTTGTGGTGTTCTGGTGGGGTTTCTTTGTTTAAAAGGTGCAATGGTGTCTAAAATCCTAAGTGATGTCTGATAAAAGGAGGAGACCTGCTCCTCCAGGCTAAAATTGTTGGTTAAAAGTAGTCAAGGAAGCTGCGGTAAAAAGTTGGGAAAATTTAAGAGCAGAGGTGGAGTTAAAAACACGAGAGTGATAAAATGACCCGCTGGAGGCAGGCTGGGGGGCTAAAATAACGTCAAATAAAATAGCTAAGTGGTCCGACACACAGATATCCTTGGTGTTGACATTTCCTGCGCTGAGGCCAAACATTAAAACCAGATCCAGTGTATGGCCCTTAGAATGAGTGGGGACATTTACTATTTGGAGGAGATTAAAAGACTCGATTAAATCAATAAAATCAGAGGTTAAAGGTGTGGTTTGAGGGGGCAGCAGACATGAATGTTAAAATCACCTAGGATTAAGACTTTGTTGTAGAGGGCCATACACTGGGATAAAAGATCAGAGAATTCTTGAATAAAAACAGGGCTGGGTTTAGGGGGTCTATAAATAATTAAAACAAACACAGGGATATTACAAGAAATGATAAAAGACAGGTGTTCAAATGAAGTAAAAAACATTCTGGATACCAGGAGTGCATTTAAAAGTGTTCTTAAAAATAGCTGCAACCCCCCCTCCCTTCCCTGACAGGCGTGGCTGGTGGAGGAAGGTGTAGTCCGGGGGGGTCGCTTCAATGAGGGGGGTGCAGTCGCCTTGCACTTGCCATGTTTCTGTTAAAATCATGAAGTCCAGGTTGTTGTGAGTGATGAAGTCCTGACAGATGAAGGATTTATTGTTGATGGATCTGATGTTTAAAAGTCCAAAGATTGTAGGTGAGGGGTCCAAAGTGGGGGCTGTAGAGGAGCAAAGGGGAACCGGGATGAGACAGGGGAGGGAGAGTTCCCTGGAGGAGGTCCTGTGGGGTCGGGGTCTGGAGATGACAGGGATTGACTGAGGGGAAGAGCAGGGGCTGGGTCGATGACAAGGGGGGAGAGGAGGTAATGCGGAGGGTGAAGAGGCAGATAGTCAGATGAAGGTGGTGTGGGACTGTACTGAGTGGATGATGTTGGATGTGAGGAAACGATTACCAAGGGGGTTGATATGGAGTCCATCGGGTCTGAAGAAGGAGGAGCGGTGCCAGAATAAATTAAAATTGTCAATAAAACCAAAATTGTGGAGGGTTGAAGATAATTTGAGCCAGGTATGTAGAGCTAGTAATCTGCTAAAACGTTCCTCCCCTCGGTTTAGAGTGGGTAGGGGGCCGGAGATAAAAACAGATTTTCCTGAACTTGATAAAAGATTAAAAAGATCTTTAAAATGGAGCTTTGTGGTTTCTGACTGGCGGGATGAAGCGTCATTGGAACCGATGTGAATGATAAGACGGGTTATTGTAGATGGGGCGTTTTTAAGCAGTCCAGGTATTTTGTCCAGCAGCGTGGTGACGGTGGCTCCAGGGAAACAGTGAGTGGAAGCATTAAAAAATCTGCAGCGTTTGATAATTGAGTCACCCACCAGAAGAGTTGTGGGTGCAAACAGAGGTCGTGGGGAGGGTGTTATGACTGGCGCTGGAGTGGCTGTGATGGGAGGAGAGGGGCGCTGAGGTGGGTCTGGAGCGGGCTGGGAGAGGCCAGGAGCGCGTGAGCAGGTGCCGTGAGGGAAGAGCAGAGGGATGGAGCAGAGTGCAGGAGACCGATGTGGTTCTGGAGGGACTGAGGCTGAGGCGTGGGGTGTCGTGGGAGGACATCGCACCGAGCCAAGGCAGGGAGAGCCTCCAGCCGCAGACGGCGCGTTGTTATCCGCGGGGGGAGCGGTAGCATTCACGCAGGGGTCCTGCGCTGCGTCAGAGCGCAGTGACCCCTCCGGAGCCAGGACAGCGTTCACAGGGGGACTCCGCACTGCGCTAGAGCGAGGGGATCCCCCCACGGCTGCCCCGGCGTTTGCTACGCTCTGCGCTGTGCACCGTGCGTCTGTGGGGCTACTCACCGTTACATGGCGCAGCGAGTCTCCCGGGGCTGAGGCAGCATTCGCGGGAGGACTCCGCGCTGTCTTCGAACGCGGAGATCCCTCCACGGCTGCCCCAGGGTCAGCCAAGCCCCGCGTAGTGTCCGGGCTCTTGGGGCTCCGCGCTGGGTCACAGCTTGGAGGGCCCACGGAGCGCCTGCGGACTGCCTCCTCGACCAGCTTGCGGCGGGTGGGCATGGACGCTCTGCGGTCTTGCCGCCTCTGCTCCAGGCTGCTCTGGCTCCGGGGATGATGGTCTGGGACTGGACAGCCAGGCACCGTTGGCTCCGGGATTGGAGGAGGCAGCGAAGGATCCGGAACCGGGCAGCGCGCTGGATGCTCCGGGAAGAGCACGGAGGCAAAGCTCGGCCCAGGAGCGGGCGGGTCCTTTCGTCGGACCACAATACATGAGGTATTGCTTTGGAGTGGGGTTGAGCAGGATGAGGGGTTCGGGCAGATTACAGGGTCCCAGAGAACAGTGTCGTGTTGAGCGGTGAGTGAGAGGTGTTGTGATTGTCTAAATGCTATGTCCATGAAGTGTTCCAGGAGTAATTCTTTGTGTTTGAGTTCGATGGAGAGGTTATTGACAGTCAATTGCAGTTCTACGGGTGACATGGTATGTACCGGTTTTTTGATTGTGGAGCTGTATGAAGTGAGTTGTGACTTATAGATTTCTTTGTAAATGTTAGTGGGTTGTGTTGTGTCCATGGTTACGGTATACGGAAGTTAGCCGGCTTGCTAGCCGGCTTGCTACCAGCAGATTCAGACGTGAATAAAAAGTCCGAGGGAGAGTGACAATAATCCTTTTAGGGCACAGCTGTTAAAAGGCGCGTAATCCAACCGATTCGCTTGATAAAAACAAATGTTAAAAGCGTGGGTTTTTAGAATAACTTTTAAAAGACAGAGGTTAAAATGCTCCAAACCAGCCAGCGGCCATCTTGGAATGAGAGGTATCTCATTCCAAGAGGGAGAACGATGTATTTACATCGTTCTCCCCCAGTCACTTCTAACTCACTGCTCCTATGAAGTGAGTTTTATTGAAAGATAAACACACCTTCAACACACATACAGAATAGCCCCAGAAGTAAAACATTAACCACTTGTTGGACACGTCTTGCAACATAGTTTCACAAGACATTAGCTTGGTTTCAACACCTGAATGGTAAGTTTCCACACTCCAATGTAGATCAACCCAAAGTTGTCTTGACTATATTACTGTATATCTAGATTATATTCATGTTCATTTTAATGATAACCCAAATAATTCCACTATCATTTCCCTCCTGTTAATCATTAAAATAATTGACCATATTCTATGTTTAATAAACCAACTCAATGACGAAACATTAATTACTCAAAAGAACTAAAGAATTTTTTTTTTTAATTTCATATGTATATCTAATTGCTCTCCCATTCCCCATAATATCCCTCATGTTGAGACATTATTTATGGCTGAATAACTTAACATAATTCCTACTTATTCATGTGTAGGATATGAAAAAGACACAAATACCCAATTCATTTGAAATGTATTAACCTGCATGTATCATCCTAATGCGTCACTTTATTTTCTAATCTCAACCCTACACACACCAAAAAGCTTATTGTCCAGTAACGCCTGTTGTAGACACGCCTCCACACCCCGTCTTCTGCAGCCAGCAACGTCGCTTGGAATTGCCACGTCCACCACCACGGCTGTCCTCTGCCCTTTGTCTACCACCACGATGTCAGGTTGGTTCGCCATTACCATTAGGTCGGTCTGTATCTGGAAGTCCCACAGGATCTTTGCACGCTCATTCTTCACCACCTTTGGAGGAGTTTCCCACTTAGACCTTGGGGTTTCCAGCCCATACTCTGCACAGATGTTTCTGTACACTATGCCAGCCACTTGGTTATGGCGTTCCATGTAGGCCTTCCCTGCCAGCATCTTGCACCCTGCAGTTATGTGTTGGATCGTCTCAGGTGCCTCTTTGCACAACCGACACCTTGGGTCTTGTCTGGTGTGGTATATCTGGGCCTCTATCGCTCTGGTGCTCAGGGCCTGCTCCTGTGCAGCCATGATGAGTGCCTCTGTGCTGTCCTGTTGGCCAGCCCTTTCTAGCCATTGGTAGGACTTCTTGAGATCAGCCACTTCTGTTATGCTCCGGTGGTACATGCCGTGTAGGGGCTTGTCCTCCCATGATGGGCTCTCCTCCAGCACCTCCTCATCTTGCCACTGCCTGAGACATTCACTGAGTACGTCATCCGTTTTGGCCTTCTCCATGATGTAGTTATGGAGTTTGGATGTTTCGTCCTAGACAGTGGCTCTCACACTCACTGGTCTTCGGCCTCCTTCTTTACGGCTTACGTACAGTCTCAGGGTGCTGGATTTGGGATGGAACCCGCCATGCATGGTGAGGAGCTTTCGAGTTTTAACATCCGTGGTCTGAATCTCTTTGGCCACCTGATTATTCCTGCAGGGTATCTGATCACTGGCAGGGCGTAGCTGTTAATTGCCCGGGCCTTGTTCTTGCCATTGAGCCGGCTTCTTAGGACCTGCCTTACTCGCTGGAGGTATTTGGCAGTTTCCTCGTCACCTGTTCGAGGTTGCCATTTGCCTGTGGTATACCGAGATACTTGTAACTGTCCTCAACGTCTGCTATTGTTCCCTCTGGGAGTGAGATCCCTTCTGTGTGGACTACCTTGCCTCTCCAAGTCACCATCCTGCTACATTTCTCGAGTCCGAATGACATCCCGATGTCATGGCTGTAGATCCTGGTTGTTTGGATCAGAGAGTCGATGTCTCTCTCGCTCTTGGCGTACAGCTTGATGTCATCCATGTAGAGGAGGTGACTGATCTTTGCTTCGTTCCTGAGGCGGTATCCATAGCCAGTCTGGTCAATTACTTGGCTTAGAGGGTTGAGGCCTATGCAGAACAGTAGTGGGGACAGAGCATCTCCTTGGTAGATACCACATTTGATGGTCACTTGTGCGAGTGGCTTGCCATTTGCCTCAAGGGTGGTCTTCCACATTCCCATCGAGTTTGCAACGAAGTCCCTTAGAGCCCTGTTGATATTGTACAACTTCAAGCATTCCATGATCCATGTGTGTGGCATTGAGTCGTAGGCTTTCTGGTAATCAATCCAGGCTGTGCACAGGTTGGTGTGTCGTGACCGGCAGTCTTGGGCGACTGTTCTGTCAACCAGGAGCTGGTGTTTGGCTCCTCTGGTGTCTCTACCAATGCCCTTCTGTGCAGTGCTCATGAATTATTCCATATGCCCACTTATCTTAGCCGCAATTATGCCTGACATGAGCTTCCATGTTGTGGAGAGACAGGTTATTGGCCGGTAGTTGGAGGGGACTGCACCCTTGACAGGGTCCTTCATGATCAGGACCGTTCGCCCTTCGGTTAGCTATTCTGGGTGAGTCCCATCTCTCAGCAGCTGGTTCATTTGTGCTGCTAGGCGCTCATGGAGTGATGTGAGTGTCCTTAGCCAGTAGGCATGGACCATATCAGGGCCAGGTGCTGTCCAGTTTTTCATACCTTTCTTGGATGTCTCGGATATATATATATGTGATAGTGGGGGGGGGGTTCTTGAGGGATTGACATTAAAAAGGTAGATTAAAAACTGCCAGAAAAGGTGCCGAATAAAATAATTTATGGATTTAAAAGAGCTGGGTGTTTCCAATAAAACCAGAAGTTAAAATGAATTAAAATCATGTTTAATACAATATAAAATAGATAAAATAGTAATTAAAAAAGAATTAAAACGATAAAATGATAAAATGATGGCGGTCCAAAGGGCCTGGTCCTCTCGCCCGGAAGATGGACGAAGGGCAGCACTCCCACGGCCTCAGGGGGGGTTCCGCGCGCGCAGCTGCTGGCGTCGTACCTGCAACAGAGAGGCAGAGGGCCAGCTCTCCCGCTCACACCCACCAGGAAGCCCAGGCCTGAGGCCGCTTGATGCAGCGGGAGCTAGAGCGGTTGAGCGGTACTCACGGACAGGGAGAGCTCCCCGCTCTCCCGCTGCATCCTCTGACTTGTTCGCTGGTGGTGCTCGCTGCCTCCGGTCCCTCGCCTCTCTTCCCGGCCTGAACGCTGCGCCGCCTCACTCCCCTCCTACGGGGCGCCCGGGTCCAGCGGCGAGCTCCAGCCCTGTCGCACAGCACACACACGGGCCAGCCACGCACAGCACCCAGGATTCCCCCCTCAGCCCAAGGCTTCCATACACCACATCTACACAAGAGCAAAACTCACCGGCAGGGCAGGGTCCAAATGCCCTGCCTCTGTGTAGTTCTCGTCGTGGTGCGGGGGTCCAGAGCGTGGGTGCCATGGTGCTGGCCCGGTGCGTGCTGGTCTCTCCTTCCGGGCTCGCCTCCTCTCGCTGCGCGTCCGCTCCCCGGTGTCGCGTCTCTGTCTGCGCGGTCCCAATCTCCTTTTGCTGTGCTCCCCAGGTGATTATATTCACGGTGATTGCACCCGCAGGTGTCCTGGTCCATCCTCATCAGGGGTGGGGTGTGCGTTGTCGTGAGGGCAACCAATTAAACAGTCTAATAGCATGCGCTTGAAATCACAGCAAAACAATAAAACTCACAACAGCAATTGAAAACCATAGCAGTAAAAACACTCAGCATGCATAAATAAAACAAAACGCACTTGTGTCCCATCACACCCCCCCGCACTTTGCCGTTGTCAGTCCCTGCAACGAGCGCAATCTAGTCCGTGTAGCGAGCAGGCAGCCGCCCTTGATTAGTCCGATTTGAGCGCCTCGGTTGATTCCTATAGTCCGGTGCCTCCATTTGAGGCTCAGGTGGGGGCATGAACCCATAAAACACCGACAGTTCTTGCCGTCATTAGGTCCTGAGTGTCCCAAAATCCTGTCACCATTAAAAGCCAGAACACCTTAGGGTACAGCCATCATTTTTGCCCTTTATCGGAAACACCAGCTCAAAACGAATGGTGAAATCCTGCCAGCAACGCCAGATGTGATAGTGGGGGGGGTTCTTGAGGGATTGACATTAAAAAGGTAGATTAAAAACTGCCAGAAAAGGTGCCGAATAAAATAATTTATGGATTTAAAAGAGCTGGGTGTTTCCAATAAAACCAGAAGTTAAAATGAATTAAAATCATGTTTAATACAATATAAAATAGATAAAATAGTAATTAAAAAAGAATTAAAACGATAAAATGATAAAATGATGGCGGTCCAAAGGGCCTGGTCCTCTCGCCCGGAAGATGGACGAAGGGCAGCACTCCCACGGCATCAGGGGGGGGTTCCGCGCGCGCAGCTGCTGGCGTCGTACCTGCAACAGAGAGGCAGAGGGCCAGCTCTCCCGCTCACACCCACCAGGAAGCCCAGGCCCGAGGCCGCTTGATGCAGCGGGAGCTAGAGCGGTTGAGCGGTACTCACGGACAGGGAGAGCTCCCCG